ACCGGCAGATAAGTCCCCTTTCAACTAAAACTCTCCTGGCTTTTCCCCTGTCTGTCCTCTCAAAATATCAAAAAATATCACACTGTAGGAAAAACAGACTTTATAACCTGAGTCTTAAATTGACTGACCACTTTGGTTTACGTGTCAACCCCTTAAAACTCAGTGGCCTGTGGGTCATATTGCTTCAAATGCATGCTGGGCCCACAGGCAGACCACTGGCTCCAAACTTAGTGATGAAGCATTTTGAATGTGGTGTTTTGAAACTGGTGACAGAACATAACCCTGAAATTCCCCATTCTCAGTTTGTGCTGAGTTCAATATGCACCACAGTTTTGCTAGGACTGATGGTATGCAGCAGGAATTGCGAGATCACGTAGTTCCAGCCATGTGTGGAGTAAAATCAAGACGTAAACAGTAGATTAATCTGCTTTTCTGGGGATGATTTACTGAGTACTTTGACATAACTCATTGATTTTTTCAAGTCTACGATGGGTGAATACATTGGGGATTATGTTTTCTCAGCTTTCTGCTTTGTTGTGATTTTGTTGCGTTCAAAGACAAAGTAGAAGAAGTCCAGTTGGGAACTAGTGGATCAAAACTTTGTGACTACTTTTATTGCTGGGAATCGGGAGACCCTGAATTGAGTTGTATTTTCAATTTTATTGGACAAGCACAGGGGCACAGAGTGTTTTTGACCTCCTGTTTCTCAATAACTCAAATGCAAGCACAGCTTAACGTGGGCTGGTCGTGCTTCTGGTTCACACTGGAGACGGCTCACAGGACATACCAGGTTACTTAGAATGGAAGTGAAATCATGTCTATCAAACAATAATAGATCTAATTTTGCAAAGACAGTATTTATTATGAATGTTATGATGTTTCTTGTTTCTCCCAGGTTTTGAATGTTGGAAGAGATGTTTTGGCTTTTTTCATGTAAAAAACAAAAACAATGAGGCTGGCCTTCAGATACCATTTTTTTCTCTAAAAAGCACCCTTGAGTCAGTCCTCCTAATGTACTGTGGCACATTAAAATACACAGAAAAGTTCATTTTTCCCTCTCTCTCTCTCTCTCTTCATCTATCTATCTATTTATCTCTCATCCACTCTCTCTCTCTCTCTCTCTCTCTCTCTCTCTCCCTCGCTTTCGCTCTCCCTTTTCTGATATTGTCTGCCGTTGAAATGGGCCAGAAACTGAAAGCAAGGTAAGAATGAATGAGTGGGCTGTCTCTCCCATAATTGGAAGCATTCATTGATTAATGATTTTGTGCATGCAGGCGTCAGAATTAGCAGCCCCTGCTGAGAGGGAGGATTCTGTATAATCAGCTGATTTGCTCTCATTATCATCCCTTATGAGTGCCAAGCTTGTCAGGTTTCCGCAAACTCCCTTTGTTTAATGTGAGGCAATCATTTCAGTCGTGGTCGGTTCATCAGAAATAAAATGCCCCCGCATGTTACGTGAAGAAAAAAAAACCAAAAAAAAACGGAATCTCTCCCACTGGATGGATGAGGAGCTGAGTTACAGCTAAACTAATTAAGATTGCTGAAAGAACTGTTGTAATTATGTTACTGTTAGTTTTGACATGAGAGATTTGTGTGTTGTTGTAAAGGAGCACACAGCTGTGAAATCCAAAAGGCTGGAGTATTTTCATACTGGGACATAATGTGGACTCATTCAAGACCCTAAGATACTAAACCACATCTCCGCAAATCCTGAAGCTTTCAGGTTTTTGTGGTTGGGTGTGTAATTTGAGGATTAAATGGTGTGTTTGGTTTTGAATCATAGGGTTTTTCCAGTTTTTCTGAGTTGTCTTGAACACAGCATCATCCCCCAATCACAGTGTGCACCACTGTTTCCAGTCAAATGTCTTTAAAGCAAAGAAAGCATAGTAGAAAACATAGCTGTGATAACATTACAGGGGCCCAAACTGTGCACAGGGAGGCTTTGATTAATCAGATAATATCAATATTACTGTATGCTGAAAATGCATGCATATGAAACCCACGTGACAATAGCAGAACAGGTTTTTGTTTCTTCAGTTGGATAATATTTGTTGACAGTTCTACACAGGTGCTGTACAGTGCTTGACTCTTTTTGAATCACTAATCTTTTTACTAAAACACACACATTTCCAATGTTATTAATGTTAATACCTTCTGTACAGGCAAGCTCTTGAAAATTTCTACAGACTATTACTCACCTGGCTACCCCAACCCCCACCCCACCCCCATCCCCATCCCCAACCCATCATTAACTGCACTGCAGGAACAGCATCATGCCTCCCTCATAACAGAGCAAGGAGCTGGTGCTCAAGCTCGGATATGAATTCTGACTAATCAGTATTTATTGTGAGAGGATCACTAACTCACTTTAATCCTCTTCATTCAAGGTGCCTTCAGCAAATTTCACCTCAAGGACAGTCATGCAACAAGATGGAGTTGCAAAACAGCTCTTTTGCCAGTGATAATCTGCTGGCTGGTTTCCTGTGTTGCATTGTGGATACTTCAGCTAAATACCACCTGTCAAATGAGACTGTGACTTGTGACAGACGAGGACTGAGATATTGTGTAGTTAAGAACCTAATTAGAGTCAGGGCAGGCAAGTGTGTGTGTGTGTGTGTGTGTGTGTGTGTGTGTGGGTGTGTGTGTGGGGGGGGGGGTGTTACGGTGACAGAAACAGATCACAAAATGTACATTTACTGCACATTTACATATTTATCCTCTTAGTCCACACATAAACAGAGCTCTCAAGGCAAGGTGTAAACAGTAAGGCTCTTCAGTACAAAGGTAAAATGCCGATGCATATGCTGTTGTTGTTACCACAGGAAATGTGGGAGTGAGAATAGAAGCAACACCTCCATTTAACCTCTCCATTAAATTCTGTATTGAGCTGGTGCTTCCAGCTTATTGTTTAAGATAAAACTAATGTGAATCAAATCAGTTTGTATCACACTGAGCTTAGGATGAAATTGACCAGATGCAGTGAATTATAATTCATCCATCTACAAACTGCATTTACAAAGGCCTTGGCTTGAAGTGAGAATCCTTAAGATTTCAGTCTCAGTTGGCTTGGCAACAGCAAGTGAGGCTCATGTTTTGTTTTTGTTGTTGTTTTAGTTTTACACAATTATTTGGATCAGGCAGTTATCAATACCAAGTTTACTGGTTCTAAACTTTTCACAGTCACCACACAAATCGGCCCTCTTGTTGTCCCCCAGTCAAATCTGACCAGTTTGCAAATAACGAATGTTAGAAATACGATTTTCTGTCATGTAATCACCTGAAAATAACATGGATTGTTCCTCTTTTGGCAAATGTAATTAACGATCACAACCTGAATTGAATTCAAATTTAAAGTATCTGTCTTCCCAGCCTCTACAATGAGGCAGATAAACACAGAGAAACACACACAAACATAATTCAACCCCATATGACTGTCTGACACACACACTTGCACGTGCATACACACATACGTGCACACAGACATACACAGAAAGAAACACATACACACACCCCCAAATGACTTCTGTCTCTCTCACACATTTACATGCACACTCATACACACACAGACGCACACAATTTCAAAGCTAATGACAACAAACAAACGAACTGAGCTTCTGTGGAGCATTTCACATTCTGAGACAGCACAATGAAGAGGCGTTACTACACTACACTGGGGGCTCTTGACTTCATTTACAAAGCTGTTAGGAGAGCCAACAGGAGGAACCTGCAACAGCAAAATGAGCATCAGGTGTCAAAACTTGCCATTACAGCCACTCATGCAAATGAAGAGAAACACGCACTGGAACTGTTTTTCTGTATTTTTGTGTCTCTGTGCCCGAGACAGCCGTGGCCGTTTGCATTGTTTGCTGGTTGGTTGTCCATCTGTCTGAGCAATTCTCATGAATGTGATTTCTGTTTAACGCCTTGAGGGAATTTCCTCAAATTTGGTACACATTTGGACTCGAGAATCAACTGGTTACAATTTGGTGGTCAAAGGTCAAAGGTCACCCTGACTTTGTATGTTTTTGGTCTTGTGAACTTAGTATCCAAGGCACATCTACACAGGCAGACAGTAGTTGTAGACAGTAGCTCTGTTAGTTTTATTTAGTTTCAATGCAAAATAAGGAACCACAACTAGACTGTTTGTTTATGGAGATTTTGCCTTGTGTTGCAAAGCTCAGCTTAAAATTTGAGAATTTTAGGATTTTCTCAGATCTTTATTGTGATAATTGATGGCTCGTTGGTCTAGGGGTATGATTCTCGCTTCGGGTGCGAGAGGTCCCGGGTTCAACTCCCGGACGAGCCCACTGAACTGTTATAGCAGTGATATGTCACAAGATGTAAAAGCAGACTGACTGAAGCACCAAAATGCAATGCTGCAAGCCAGTATACAGGCCTGCATAACATCTATAAGACATCTTAGGCCTACACGTACCTTAACCATGTTTCTGGAGTATGCAGGACTCCACTTCTTATGTATTCTTGATTTTTCTTTTTTCTTTTTTTTTAAATAATACTGGACAATCTTAGCTTTCTGGGTCTCAAGCACATACAGCAATTTAAAGGAATCAGAACTAGACTCAGTTTGTAAAGGTATCAAAGGTCAGGTCAGAATTTGAGATTTATTCTCATGATGATTTCCCTCTTCTCACGGCTCGTTGGTCTAGGGGTATGATTCTCGCTTTGGGTGCGAGAGGTCCCGGGTTCAACTCCCGGACGAGCCCTTTGAACAGTTACAGTGATCATCATTGTCATTATGAATATAGACTTACTGGAACACCAATTGAATTGTTTCAATTATGCAAGTTATCATATAGAAGGTCGACAATCTACATAAGACAAGACAAACCTCTTAGGGCCCACATGTACCTTAATCATGTTTCTGGAAGGTACCGACCCACAATTCTGGAGTTTTAGAAACTCTGTCAAGATTTTGTTCTGTGTTGTAAAGCTGGAATTTTATTTTATTTTATTTTTAGCAATATTTTACACCATTTTATGGCTCGTTGGTCTAGTGGTATGATTTTCGCTTCGGGTGTGAGCAGTCCTGGGTTCAACTCCTGGACAAGCCTGTTCATTGTTGCAGATTGTTAACACCCTGGAGGGGAACTTTGTCTGATACCAGAGCTTTTTAGTCTTATCTCATTCTAATACACCAGGCTTTAATGTCTGTTAATATTTAACATAACGATTACTATATGCTTTGACTCTCTGAACATGGTGGAAAGACATGAGGGAACCACAACTACTGAAGACCATGTGTCTTTGTAAAGGCTTTTTGTGGTGTGTCAATGCTGACCTTAGAATTTAAGATTGTCCTTGAATTAATGTGAAACTGTTGTTGGTCTAGGGTTCAGATTCTTGGTTCGAGTGCCAGAGGTCCTGGGTTCAACGCCCAGATGAGCAATTGCAATGATGCAGCTATGATCACTCACCATATGTCAAAACAAAACAACTGGATGTTGTTTGTTCATTTTTTATGCTGCACCCTAGAGAGAGGGAGAGAGATGAGAAATTACAGTGATAGCCAGCATGAATGATTTAAGGCCAATGAGTACCACATCCTATATATCTTGAATATTACTCTTTGAAGAGTAAACATTTCATTCCTGTTCTGCATGTCAAGGTAAAGCATTGTTTGGACTTACTGTATGTCCTAGTTTAAACTTGCAATTAGAAAGATCAGTGCAGTATTTACTATGCAATGTACAGCATTTTACTACAACAGTGATACATTTTTTCAGTTCACACACCCAATGTTTGTGAAATTAACAAATGATCATTATTTACAGCTGACTAATTCCATCTCTTATGAATGCAATTCACATAGGATGTCAGTTCCACCTCCTCCCTCTCTCCCCCTCCATAACTAGCGTGTTAACCAATTAGAATTTCCAAGCAGTCGAAATGTTATTAGAATTACAATAAAAAATGTGCATAATGTTGCATCACACTGTACTGAATTGTATTATATTGCACTGCATGATCCTGCAGGGAGACATCAGGGCTGAATCAAATCGTATTGATCTGTTGTCTGCTTGGCAGCGCCTCAGCAGATGAGCCACACACCCTCAGACATAAGCAATAATTCACAACCAAGGGCAAAGGTTTCATTGCAAGTTTAGGTGGCGGCCTGAGTTATCAATCCGTCTCAGTAAATCAGAGGAACTGAAAAAAAAAACAACTTGTTAATATTGGCAGATTGTAGTTTGTTTTAAATGCTGATTTGAAGTGGAAACTATATTTAACCCAAAAAAAAGACAGACCCCGACAACTGATGTGTTTATGTAATACATAATACATATCTATATACACTTTTCTTTTTTTCCCCTCTATATGCAATATGTGTTTCTGAATGTGGAGCTAAACACAATTTTTCACCCCTGGTGAATGAAAGTAAAGAAATCACATCAATCTGAGGGAGAGAAGGCATGCACTCTCTCAATGTCTATGCCTATATTATGAAAGGCAATACCTTTCGAAAGGGTTTGTCTATATTCCACAGTATATAGTACACACTGATGACTAGCAAAGAAAGGGAGAATCAGAATCAAGCATGAAACAATGAAAAGAAAATCTGAAGAGCTTCAGATAAGCTGATCATCCATCCATCCATCCATCCAGCCATCCATATGTATGCTACATATGTTAAATATATTCAAATGATGATAGATACAGAATCATGTTTCAAAGGCTGTGACACACTGCACTGACTGCACTGTGGACGGGTTGAAAAGCGTGATGGGCACAACACCCCACAGCCACACAAAGCCTTTGCCTCATGACTACACAAGAAAACTCGCAGTGGATTAAAGCCAATCGTGCCATTCATGTTACAGAGCTTTTTTTTCTTCTTCTTCTCTTTTTTGTCGATACTGCCAAAAGACTGCATTTTCTTCTAACAAAGTTCTATCATCCATATCCAAAAGCAAGCCTGAGCGTGCTGACAAATCAGCAGAGTTCTGCAAGTTCTGTGGGTGTCCCTGCATGGATAGCTTTCCTTTGACGTGCACCGACTGATGCTATTCCTGCCAATCAAAGTTGCCTCTCCATTGTTGTATTTACAACAAAAAAAAGGCTGTGTGAAACAATGCTACAGTACTGTATCACAAACAGAAGCGCATACAGGAGAGTAAGAAAGAAAGAAAAAAGAAAAAACAGTGGATACGATGCGTACAGAGGCACATTTTGACATATGAATCGAGCCATGGTGGCGTGATACCGAACACAGGGAAGATTCATGCTGAGGAGCAATCCCAAGTTGGCAGCTAGGGAATTTTAAACTAGGACATTGAACAAAACATCTAATTAAAGCCCTATTTGCAGTATACTGTTCCTGTTGTTTCTCTGTTGTCTTTTGTGTAGCCTCTGATTCACTGAAATCAAGGCACTGTATGCTGGGTGAAGTTTTAATACAACAAATGAGGGTAATACTTATATAAGACCATGGCCATTTTAAACCCCATCTGTGGCTTTAAACCATATAATCAATTGTTAATAATACACGTCCTGTTAAATATGTGCTTTATTTTTGTTTTAGCAGCTCCACATAGCAGCAAGTAGACAGTTAATCTACTGTATATACATTCCCCTGAATGCATTATTTAGATGCCCAGTGTGTGTTGGTGGTATTATAGTCCAAAGTATAATCGAGGGCTTCTCAGAGCTGACCTCAGACCGCCTTGGGATTCTCAAGGAACAGCTGGGGAACATGTGGCTGGTGCCAAGATTGCCGGCTCCTGACCTGGATAACTGGAAAGATAATGCATGCAGAGATACCAACAATGTTGTTTTTGCATGGGGAAAAAAAACCCTCACTTGCTCTAATTCCCTTGCATGCAGCCCCAAATTATTTTCTGTCAGACTTAATAAATGATACTGCTGTGGCTGTTATTAATTATGCATAATAATCCACGTTGCAATAGTATCAGAGAATTTAATTCATAGGCAAAAAACTGCACCACAGAAAAAAGCCCAGAGGAATCATTTTCTGTCTCCCAGGCTGCAAAAATTCAATCTGCAAAGTTCTGACCAAATTAGAAAATGGAGTAAATAAAATATTTATTTGTATTGCACTAATCTACTCTGGATGCCTTCCAGTATTTTACAGAATTCTCTAAAGTCAGCAGCCGTGAGACTAAATAAACCCAAATACCATTAATCTTTGCCTTTTACTGACAATCTAAAAACAGTTTCTCCGCCATGTCCAGTTTCAAAATAGCTTCTATTTTGCAGTTGCACTGTCTGTCAAGTGCCATGAGAGTTTTCCACCCAACATATCATTTTTATTCTAATGTGTATGCGGGCCACCAGTCATGCATTTCTCTAAAATACAGATCCTCTCACTTATTCAGCATTCTGTCAGGGAGAGCTGCGTGGCAGAATTCAATTTACTGCTCTGCACAGGCTGCTGAAGGCAAAGAATGTCGCCTGGCTGTCGCTTATAAATATGGATTTGGCCCACACTAACTGCTATCAGAGTATTTTGAAAAGCCCCAGTTTCCCTCAAATGTAAAAAATGTCATGTGTGTTTACTCATAGAGAGTCTTGGCACGTGAGAGGCTTGTTTGAAATTGCTAGTCAGAGCGATTAAGAGACCTGAGTTTACTTTCACACATTTGGTCACACTTTCCTTCACGCGGAGGGCATTTCCCCCTGCACATGAGCATTAAAAGGCCATGCCAAAAATACTGAATCACTGACAGGCACGATGCCCGGAACAACTTTACGTGATAACTCTGAGCAGATGGAAGTGGAGACTTCCACAGTCATGCTCCTGCTGCGCTGCTTGAGAGCATCATGGATCAGACACAACAGGTCACAAGACAATTCAACTGTGTTGCAGATACTTGAGACTTTGTGTGCGAGAGGTCAAAAGGTCGTGATAACTTGTGTTGAGGAAGGGTCTAGAGAGTCGGATGGAGACAAAGAGAGTGCCAGGAAGATAGAGACAGGTCATTTCCCATCTATGCAGGGGGCCGAGGCTACGCACTCAGCAGTACTGGACTCAAACGATAACGGCTGTGGATACACCTGGTCACTTCCTCCACAAGGCCATCCCTTCTCATCAGCCTCTCAGAGGGAGAGTTCAGGCGAGTCAGCACAACACTGATAAAAATGTCGCCATGCGGCCCGCTTTATACTTTATTCTTCAATATGGAACAAGAGACACGGATTCTGTCTCATAGAAACTTCCTCCTTTCTTCACCATATCTCCTCTCATTGAAAATGGAGCTTTGTAAATTCGCAAGACTAGAATCTATTTGGGAATCTCTGTGCAGGTGTATGCGCTCATGGCGAACAAAGACATCGTGCCAGACACTCCCACACAGTAAGTATGCTGATAAGCACGGTGCGCTTCTCAGACTTGAGTATTTCTTTGAAATGCTGTTGACATAAAAGCAGCAAACTTCCATTTTTGTGCCGCTTGATTAATGATGTGCACACAGAGAGACGACGCCTGTAGAGGAACCGTTTGCTCTACTTTGGCTAAGAGCTGAGAAAAGGTGCATTAGTCTAGAATCCCCCTCCCCTCCTCTCTCAGCCCACTCCAAATAAGACAGATCTAATATCTGCAGATTAGGTTATTCATTTCTCTTTTTTATTAAGGGGATATGGGCTCATTTTCTGAATGACAAGGATGATAGAAGGCTGACAAGATGAGTATTCACTTGTTTAAGCTGAAAGACAAATCTGGCCATAACACAATATTAAATGGATGAGGAGCCCAGATTCTGTGCCTTGACATTTGATATGAATGAGGAGTTGATTAGCTGTCAGTGCATGACACTGCTGCTTTTGTGTCCTGGATTCGGGATCTGACTAATGAGAGGAAATTAACTATCAGGGCATCAGAAGCCTCTCCTTTGATTTCCTGATCCTCGCCAACTTCTCCTCTTTTCTCTTCTTTTTGAGGTGCTGCTCGCATAAATGGTCAGAGCCCCTGACAGAGGTACACAGGAGAGTGATGAAGCAAGACACCTCCCGATTTGATCCAGCCTGATTGCCAGATTAGTGCCAGAGAAAAGGGGCTCCTAGTTACAGGTGAGTGATGCTGGCTCGGTATTGACTG